GGAGGCGGAGGAGATGACGGAGGCGGAGGAGATGACGGAGGCGGAAGAGATGATGGAGATGGAGGAGATGATGGAATATTCCCGAGCCCAGTGCTACTGAACCAGACTTTCTGGGGGTACACCTCAGAAATTTGGATTTTTAACATGACTGCCAGTTACTTGTCTAAAGCAGGGCTTCTCAACACTGTTGACATTTGGGCTGTTGACATTTCTGATGGAGTCTCACACTGTTGTCCAGGCTAGTGCTCCATGGCATCAGCTTAGCTTACAGCAACCTCAAACTCCTGGGTTCAAGCCATCCTCCTGCCTCAGACTCCTAAATAGCTGGGCCAACAGGTTCCCACAGTGATATCTAATTTTTCTATTTTCAGTAGGGATAGGGTCTCACTCTTGCTCAGGCTGGTCTTGGACTCTTGAACTCACAGGATCCTCCTCCTGCCTTGGCCTCCCAAGAGTGCTAGGATTAGGGGTATGAGCCACTGCACCAGGCTGAGAATCTGTATTGTAAAAGCCAACTGGGGCCTACATGCAGGTTATCTACAACTACAATGTAAAGCAGAGAAAAGGAGCAAAAATGCTAACACTATTCATATTGTAAATATCCAATATTCCAGATGCTATTATCTTGAAATGGAATGAAATGGAAACCTGCCAGCTGATACGATCTGGAAATGGAATGGAATGGAAATCATACAGTCTTAACATTTAAAAATTTACCCAGAATTTTAAATTCAAGCTTTATCTACTCAAGACATAGTTCTAACTCTAAATCACAAAAATAAACCATATAGTCTTTTTACCTCAGCATTTGAAGTGTTTTTCCACAGAATAATTTCATAGCTTAGTGGGACGTGCTGGTTCACGGGCTCGTTTTCAGAATCTTGGGGAGCGTCCATGTAGATGCGCAGTGAGTCACTGGTGGATTTCACATTAATGATGGGAGGATGTATGATACCTAAGAAAATGTGTCAAGACATAACATTCAATTAGAAAAAGCCACTTGAAGAACTTGCGCTGAACTGGACAATTACAATCTCAAGTAAAAACTATTGCCTTACTTATTATTTCAATGTCAAATCTCTTCTCTTCAGACCAAAAGGATGAGTTATTTCCATCAGATGCTTGTACACGGAGATAGTAAATTCCTCTTAGGAAAAGATTTTGAGGAAAGACACACTGGGTAGTTGTGATGTTTTCACAGTCAGTTATTTGTTTCCATTGATATAAATGACTCCCAGGATTCCTTTTGGCAAAGGCACTTTTAAGATAAAACAATTTTTAAAAATTCATTAATTTTAATGAGTTCATTCACTAAATATTTATTAAGTATTACAACATGCCAGACACTCTTGTTTTGGGTAAGGTTACCAAAATAAACAGTGCCTGCTCTCAGGGAACTCTCAGTACAGGGAAAGATAAGTATCTAGGCTCGGCGCCTGTGGCTCAAGTGGCTAAGGCGCCAGCCACATATACCTGAGCTGGCGGGTTCAAATCCAGCCCGGCCCGCCAAACAACAATGATGGCTGCAACCAAAAAGTAGCCGGGCGTTGTGGTGGGCGCCTGTGGTCCCAGCTACTTGGGAGGTTGAGGCAGGAGACTCTCTTGAGCCCAGGAGTTGGAGGTTGCTGTGAGCTGTGATGCCATAGCACTCTACCCAGGGGGACAGCCTGAGGCTCTGTCTCAAAAAAAAAAAAAAGGTTTTAAGTATCTAAACAAAAGGAAACAAAGAGTGCTCCAGACTGTGACAAAGTCGTGGGATGCTACAGGTGGCTCTGATCAATGTGCAAAAACAACTGGCAAATTTTTAAGAACACTGCAAGCTGGTTTTGAGACAGGGTTTCAATCTGTCTCTAGAGTGTAGCAGTATCATCATAGCTTACTGCAACCTGCAATTCCTGGGCTCAAACAATCTTTCTGCCTCAGACTCCCAAGTAGCTGAGACTATAGGTGCTTGCCTGGCTAATTTTTTCTATTTTTTGTGGAGACATGGTCTTGCTCTTAGCTCAGGATGGTCTCGAAATCCTGGTCTCAAGCAATCCTCCTGCCTCAACTTACCAAAGTGCTAGGATTACAGGCATAAGCCACTGTACCTGGCTGGGTTTTATTTTTATTTTATTATTTTATATTGTCTATTTATTTCCTTATTTTTTTAAGACATAGTCTGTGGTATCATAGCTCACAGCAACCTCAAACTCTTGGGCTCACACGATCCTCTTCCTTCAGCCTCCCAAGTAACTGGCACTACACGAGCTTACCATGATGCCCAGCTAATTTTTCTATTTTTAGTAGAGATGGGGTCTCACTCTTGCTCAGGCTCATCTGGAACTCCTGAGCTCAAGCTATCTGCCTGCCGTGGCCTCCCAGAGTGCTAGGGTTACAGGTGTAAGCCACCACACTAGGCTGCAAGCTGTTTTTAAAATAAGGCCATTAATTAAATACTAAATTATAAAAATTTTCAAATAAAAATTATATTAAAGACAAAGTTATAAATAATCAAACCCTACGTTGGTCTATCTCACTATATTTTACTATCTGTGTCTGCTGCATCGACATGGTGGACGTACTGTATAACGGTGTACCTCTGTGTGTCTTCCCAACTCCGTGTTCAGGAGGTCATGCTGGTAGCCTGCAAGTAGCCACGGTAGGAATATTTATATCACAAAAATCAGCGAACACTACAAACAGGACTTTTGCTTTCTGGAAAGCCAATTGTTCCCCAGGCCCCGGCACACCAGTGGAGTCTAAACAAACATGTGCACCTACCACTATAGAGTTTAGTAACTTTCCCAGAAACCAAAAGCTAACAGTGTCTCAGTTCAGCTGGAAACTACTAGAGGCTCTTCAATGGTGGCCTTGTCTTCAGTGTCTCAGTCTACGGCCCCACATACAATGTCACCACCTACATCTTCCTCAAATACAGACCTCAGGTTACCTAGCCCCAACACAAAATCCCCCAAATTACCTCAATGGAACAGCCAAGGCTGAACCTAATCTTGCCCCACAGTACTTATTCAACCTTCTCTCATTGCTCCCTCATGCCCAAAGGTTTTGCTATTCCCGAAGGACATTCTCTCCACTGGGGTTGTGAAAATTTGAAGATGGCCTCCAAGATCCTCCGCCCCTGAGCCTGGGCAGGACTTATAAATATAGTGGACACCTCTCCTTTCATGATCCGGTTACAGTGCATGGCAGAGAAAGGATTTTTACAGATATAACTAAGGCTTCAAATAAATTGATTCTGAGTTCATCAGATTAGATACTATCCTGGGTGGGCCTGACCTAATCAGATGAGCCCCTTAAAAGAGGGTGTCTAGGCCAGACTGTCCCTCTTGATGGCCTCCAAGAAGCAGGGAGCCAGGAGCTCTGCAGTTATGGGAAATGAATTCTGCCAAAGACCACACTGCTTGGAGAGGACCCCAAGTCTTGTATGACCCTGATATCTTGATTGCTTTACAGAGGACCCCAGCTACACCATGCATGGACTCCTGATAACAGCTGTTTTCTAAGCTGCTACGCCTGTAGTAATTCATTAGACAGAAATCAGGGCATTGTTTATGACTCATCTCCTTCCAAATGGCTTCCTTGGTCTCTCTGGCCCCATTCACATTTATATTTTGATTTCTATGACACCTGTAATTTGTATACTATTCCCTGGTCTTAAATCACACAGTGCTATGAAGTATCAGCTAACTGCTTCAGATTTCTAGAACCACATGTTTTACTATGTGTGTCTTCATCTCTCTTCAGGGGTTTATACAGTGAGCTAAGTACCCAAAAGAAACTTAAGACAGTTGCCATTAAAAATACCCATCCTTCTATATTCTATAGCCCTATTATTATTATTATTTTTTCCCAGACAGAGTTCCATTATGTCACCCTTGGTAGAGTGCTATGGCGCCACAGCTCACAGCAACCTGGGCCTAAGTGATTCAGCCTCCCAAACAGCCGGGACCACAGATGCCTACCATAACACCCAACCATCTTTTTTTCCTCTTGTTGCAGTTGTCATTGTCGTTTAGCGGGACCAGGCAGGGTGCGAACCTGCCAGCCTTGGGGCATGTGGCTGGCGCTATAACCACTGTGCTACGGGCACCAAGCCCTGTGGCCTTATTATTTAACATACAGGGTGTTCCAAAAGTCTCCATTCATAGGAAAACAGATATTTTGGAATGTGTTTGCTATGAGTGGGAGAGAAGACTTCCTGTATGTGTAGAAAGAAGTGGCCAACATCTAGAGAACGTTTTGTAAATATTTTGTAAAATTATATAATGAGTATTTCCCATTTTTTCTGTATGTATGGTGACTTTGGGGACACCCTGTAGTCTGACAGTGAAATACACGTAAGGTTACTGAATGGTTTCCTATATACTACGGGGCACATATGCACATGATCGTGCTTCTACACTGTAGTATCAGCCACCCTTGGTGAAAGTTAACACTAACAGACACACAGAGACGGATCACCGCAGTACTGACGTCTCCCACATTTGTTCTGTTTCCTTCTAGTTTCTTCTCATCCTTCCTTTCCTGCCTTAGCTACACGTCACTTTGGCCCCTCGATTCCTCTGCCCTCAACATATATTTTTCTCTCCATCCCTTTTCTCCCCACAACTTGCTTGTCCTATTCTGTTTATTTATCCCCGCAGTTTTCTTTTCTTTTCTTTTCTTTTTTTTTTGAGACGGAGCCTCAAGCTGTCCCCCTGGGTAGAGTGCTGTGGCATCACGCTCATCACGCTCACAGCAACCTCCAACTCCTGGGCTCAAGCGAGTCTCCTGCCTCCGCCTCCCAAGTAGCTGGGACCACAGGCGCCCGCCACGACGCCCGGCCA